GGAACTCGTTTCCTCTTTCAAATTTTAATGCACAGCCAGCAACCGATTAAAGATACCTTACCAAAGTATGTTAAATTTCACTGTCATCTGAAGAGTTTTCTAGAGCGCTTCGAAAAAGTCTCGTAAAACGAAACCAAAGTTGTCATGACAGACAATCAGAAGAAAGGAAAATATGCTACAGAGCCAATAAGAAATCAAAGTAAACACCACTGACCAAACGCACATAGCGCGGGAAAACGCGGGCGAACAAGTCGTGATTGCTTACATCTGATTGGATGATAGAGTGGCGCGAGTTTTGTGGACCAATCACAGAGTGAAGAAAAGCAAAACCAAGGCAGTCCCAACTTATTTTCGAAACTCAGTTGAAAAAAAAAAAAATTGCTCTAGACATAGACGAGAAATTGGTGAATGGACCCAAAAATTTGTCCCGCAGTAAAATAATAGATCCTCATGTGAAAATCACGACAAAATGGGACAAGATGTAAAATTGGAAATGCGTTTACGTCTTAGAATAGTGATAAGCAGAATATTTTAAGAAACCTCAATGCTCTCAGACCGTAACATGAACAGAACATGGGAAACCTATAAAATACTGAAACTCCCAATAAATAAAAACAAATAATAGAGACTAAATGTAGGTAAGCTTCAACTGACCCTCTTGCAGCTAATACTTCCATTTGTGGAGCAGCTGGTCCATCCGTTGTTACTTGTGGAGCAACATATTGAAACTTTGGTCCTTCAGCCAATGGGAATGGAACAAATGTTTCCTGAAGAACAACAATACTACACTGAATATCGCATGCTGAACATGCTAAAAGTACATGCCGTACCCTATTAACACACAAAAACCAATCATGTGATTAATACAGAAAAAAAGTTGAGGGGAGGGGAAGGGGGTTAACTAAGAAGGGTGGAGTGAGATGTACGATGGACCTAGAAAATAAGTGCTTATTTGAAGTGGGTGCTTGCTCAAGGCTGGGTGTTCAATCAAATTTTCACCACTGTACCATTGACAGTGAATTTAGAGATTATAAGCCAGTAAAGATACGTACGATGCACGATCCTCGCAGTAGAGAGCGCTATTTATGCAATAGCGAAAATCAGACCTGAAAAAAATCAGGCCTGTACGGGATTCGAACCACTGACCTCTGCGATACTAGTGCAGCGCTCTACCAATTGAGCTAACAAGCCAACTGGGAGCAGGCCGTTAAGTTGATTCGTAATAAACCCGTGATGATAAATCAGATACAATGAATATATGAAGTTCATATATTTTGAACTGCGGTATTAGATACGTATGATGCACGATCCTCGCAGTAGAGAGCGCTATTTATGCAATAGCGAAAATCAGACCTGAAAAAAATCAGGCCTGTACGGGATTCGAACCACTGACCTCTGCGATACTAGTGCAGCGCTCTACCAATTGAGCTAACAAGCCAACTGGGAGCAGGCCGTTAAGTTGATTCGTAATAAACCCGTGATGATAAATCAGATACAATGAATATATGAAGTTCATATATTTTGAACTGCGGTATTAGATACGTATGATGCACGATCCTCGCAGTAGAGAGCGCTATTTATGCAATAGCGAGTCAGAACTGAGAAAAATCAGGCCTGTACGGAATTCGAACCACTGACCTCTGTGATACTAGTGCAGCGCTCTACCAATTGAGCTAACAAGCCAACTGGGAGCAGGCCGTTAAGTTGATTCGTAATAAACCCGTGATGATAAATCAGATACAATGAATATATGAAGTTCATATATTTTGAACTGCGGTATTAGATACGTATGATGCACGATCCTCGCAGTAGAGAGCGCTATTTATGCAATAGCGAAAATCAGACCTGAAAAAAATCAGGCCTGTACGGGATTCGAACCACTGACCTCTGCGATACTAGTGCAGCGCTCTACCAATTGAGCTAACAAGCCAACTGGGAGCAGGCCGTTAAGTTGATTCGTAATAAACCCGTGATGATAAATCAGATACAATGAATATATGAAGTTCATATATTTTGAACTGCGGTATTAGATACGTATGATGCACGATCCTCGCAGTAGAGAGCGCTATTTATGCAATAGCGAAAATCAGACCTGAAAAAAATCAGGCCTGTACGGGATTCGAACCACTGACCTCTGCGATACTAGTGCAGCGCTCTACCAATTGAGCTAACAAGCCAACTGGGAGCAGGCCGTTAAGTTGATTCGTAATAAACCCGTGATGATAAATCAGATACAATGAATATATGAAGTTCATATATTTTGAACTGCGGTATTAGATACGTATGATGCACGATCCTCGCAGTAGAGAGCGCTATTTATGCAATAGCGAAAATCAGACCTGAAAAAAATCAGGCCTGTACGGGATTCGAACCACTGACCTCTGCGATACTAGTGCAGCGCTCTACCAATTGAGCTAACAAGCCAACTGGGAGCAGGCCGTTAAGTTGATTCGTAATAAACCCGTGATGATAAATCAGATACAATGAATATATGAAGTTCATATATTTTGAACTGCGGTTATAGATACGTATGATGCACGATCCTCGCAGTAGAGAGCGCTATTTATGCAATAGCGAAAATCAGACCTGAAAAAAATCAGGCCTGTACGGGATTCGAACCACTGACCTCTGCGATACTAGTGCAGCGCTCTACCAATTGAGCTAACAAGCCAACTGGGAGCAGGCCGTTAAGTTGATTCGTAATAAACCCGTGATGATAAATCAGATACAATGAATATATGAAGTTCATATATTTTGAACTGCGGTATTAGATACGTATGATGCACGATCCTCGCAGTAGAGAGCGCTATTTATGCAATAGCGAAAATCAGACCTGAAAAAAATCAGGCCTGTACGGGATTCGAACCACTGACCTCTGCGATACTAGTGCAGCGCTCTACCAATTGAGCTAACAAGCCAACTGGGAGCAGGCCGTTAAGTTGATTCGTAATAAACCCGTGATGATAAATCAGATACAATGAATATATGAAGTTCATATATTTTGAACTGCGGTTATAGATACGTATGNAGGAGGGGTGGCTTATTAAAGGATTTATAGTATGCCTACAGTTTGAGCTCTAGGTTATACCCAGAATGCATATGGTGTTGACTTAAACGTTAATCACTAACTTACTTTTTGTAAGGAAGTCAATTGGGTGTTTTGGGCTGAAAACAGCAAAGACTTCTTCTGCAGTTTATTTGCGTGTTCAGCTATAATGTCATCTAGTGAACGATCACCTTTGACCTGCAATGAAAGTTGGAAAGGGATCCGTCTGTTTAATGTGCATTGCTATATCTCTCAGTTACTAAGTAAGATAAGATTGGTCAATTTAGCCTTGAAATGGAAATCTCCCCCATATATTTGAACCTATAGATGTATAGGTAATCACATGGGGCCGAGTAAAATTAAGGATTAATATCACACGTGTTTTTGGAAGTTGCTGAAATTGCCCGAGTCGCGCAGCGATGAGGGAAATTTCTGAGGGTAATTTATGAGGGAAATTTAATCCTTCTTTGTGTCCATAGTGTAAGTTACAAAACTTTGTTTTTTCTGCTCAGTTATGGCACTTGCACTTCATTCTTGGGCTTAAAATCTAAGTGGAAGAAACCTGGTTCTGTAACTTGGTTAGTAGAGGTATTTACATCACAATAACATTTTTTTGCCACAAAGCAGTAAAACTGACAGTGACATAAAGAATGAATTGCTATTGTAACATTCGTACAGTATTAAGCAAGAGACCAAATGTGATGAATGCATGAAAATAAAACTCACCAGTCAGCAAGACAGACCAGTGTACAACCATTAACTAACACTATGATTTATAGTTCACCACTAAATTTTCTCTGATTCTTACTGGTTTAAATTGATCACGTGACGCGATAGTGTTCATCCCTGGAGAGACACTATCAGCCCATAGTGCCCGTCCGTGGAAGATACCCGGATGGATAGAACTCATCCGTGAAAAGTTTTGAATGGTTTGATGGCTGCAAAGTTAGGTAGATTGGAAAAACAGTGACTTTTCAATTCTGACAGGTATAACGTATTATTTAGCCAATGTGCAGTTGCAAATTATTGACATTTGTTACAGGCTGTACACATGAATAAATATTTGATTGATCTGCATTTAGTGGGTTTTGACTGTTTTTCAACTGGCACGCGGAAGAAAATTTAGTGGTGAACAATGAAGACAATAGAGTGTTTATGTAGAGGAACTATCAGTCTGATAGTTGCCCCCTTGGAAATTTAATTTTCTTAAAACTAGCATATTTGTTTAAAGATGAAACAATTTTTTTAGTGTAATAACATCAAATTTCCACGGGGCAACTATCAGCCGATAGTTCCTCGACAGAAACACTCTATTGTTTACTAAATAAATAATGAAGGTAGCGTTGCTGAATGGTCAGTGTGTCAGATTTGCAATCCACTGCTCCCATGTTCAAGTCCTGCCCTGACCACTACTGGTACCTGGATTTGTTTCACAGTATCTAGATTATCAATTAAATTCTCCTTGGAAGCTCCTTACGAAATGTATAGAGAGCACTTTGGAGAATAAGCATACTGATCTTATGATAAAGAAGGTTGAGATGTCATCAAACTGTCTCAACAATACAGAGCTATCTTAGCTAGAGCAATCTAAAACTTTCTTACCAGTTTGTCAAGAAATTCCTCATTTTCTTTTTTCTTGTCATTTCTCTCCTGTTTTTCCAACATAGCAACCTGTGCCCGTCTAAGCTCTTCCTGTTTGAGTTGTTCTTCAAGTTGAGACATAACCAGAGCTTCTTCTCTACCCTGCAAAATTCATCCAAATGCATCTCTCCATCCCTGTATCATAATAAACACTAACTAAAAGGACTGTATGTATGTAAATGTAAGCATGTACCGTATTAAGTACGCATGTACTTCATTGACCACTGCCCCAAAGGGGCTTTTCAGGGCCAATACAACTGGATGAATAAATGAATGAATGAATCAATAAACATAGTGTTGAAAAATCCCAACTGGCCAGAGGTAGACCATTTGGCTAAGGCAAAGGGCTAGCTAGAGAGTTGAACTTGGGGCAACTGAGAGTAAATCAATCAAGCGGTATAGTGTTGGGGTGGAGGACTATATCCCAGAAACATCAAAAAAAAAGAATCCCAGTGCTTCTACAGGGGTCAAAATCAACATGAAAAA